AATTGGGTATTATAATAATTTTCTATATTTATATTATATTTTTTGATTAAAAAAAGAAAATAATGAAAATTTTATTCATTGTATAGATCCATTTTCTTATTATCAAAAGAACAATAATGGTATATATTTATTTAAATAATCATGTTTTAAATATTAAATCTTAACTTTTATGTTTATCTTTTTTTTTTTGAAAAATCAAAGAAAAACGAAAGCTTAAGGATAGTTTAATTGATGGTAACGAAAGCAATAAAAAAAGTAAAAATAATGGTAAATATTTTAAATTCCATTATTATTTTGTTATTACCACGTCTATGCGAAATCTATGTGATCGAAACTTTTATGCATATATTGATAATTGTCAGTAATTACATTGTGCGCATAGTCCTAATGTCAATATCAGTTTTCGACTGATATAACTACTCCTAGAGCATTAAATCCAACTAATTACTTTTCTGTATTTATTAGATTATGTAACAAAAGAATTGGAAATAGATATTAATGAATTTAATGAAGGTGATGTGTGATTATGTAAATATTATATTAATTATCTTTTATAAACTAACAAGTATATTTTTTTATAGAATATATTACCAGGGAAATTGATCTTGATATTAATGCTCCTGAGCTAAATGACGATGGGCATCATTTAGGAATTTAGCTTTTTTAAAATAAATACATATAATGGAAATTATAATTTTACAAATGTAGAATCTTAAAGAATTTCTTTATCAGTGTCATTTTTTTTTAATATTCTACATATTGATCATAGACGAATGAAGTATCAATTTATTAAATCAGTAATAAAGCATATTGGTTATGAAATATTATCTCATGTTTACTAATGGTCTCTCGCGATTTTCAATGATATTTTAATATCTGTATAAATATTTAATTTTATATAGTATCCATAGATGTTATATTTTACTGATTACATAATACAATAAAGAAATAAGAATTGATGCACATTTTAAAGTATTAATAGAGTGTTTTTTTTTTAGATATAAAAGAATGCATTGAATGTTTAAAATACTACATTCTTCTTATGATAATATAATATATTTGTATGTAATAGTACTAGTTTCGCGAAAAGTAAATTAATAAGAAAATAAAAAATTTTTAGAGGCACTAACGTTTTGTGGAATCTGAAGTGTAGGGAGAAAATTTAACTTTATAGATTTAATGTGTTGTACGTTAACACTAATAATATAAACTAACAGTTACGATCAGCCTTGATAACATTATCATTACGGCGTACGTGAAATAAAATTATTACATAGTTAAATGTTTAAAACCAATTGATAGACTAATAAAATCTTTTAGATAAATGTAATCAAACGATGAATCAATATTAATAAAAGAGAATGACTCTTCCTTGAACACAAAAGGAAGTGGAATTATAAATATATAAACGAAACTTATAATTATATATATATATATAGTGAAATTTGCACAAATGGTCTTTAATATTTTAATATATTTACTTAAATTTAATTTAAATGAGCATGGTCGAAATTCTTCCTTATTCCAAATCAAGAAGTCGTAGGATATACCTTATCCTTATAAACTTTTTCGATTGCTCTCTCTCTCTCTTCTCTCTCAAGCTGTTCGATATTATTCTCACCAATTGCTACATAATTCGCTAAAACAAACCCGGCATCTTCAAGGAACTTGTCGCTTCTATCCTTTACTAATAGTATTTGATTGGGCAACAAGCTAACGCTATCTTCAGTTTTGATTTACGTTCAAATCAATTAAAACCTTTGCTTGCAGACGGTTATATCAATATGGCCATTCACTACTGATGCAGGAATAGACATTGGGTTTCTTTTCCACAAGCAAAGTCTGATACAAGTCTGGCAAATTGATGTTGCTATTAGGAGTTGACGCGCTTGCTGATGGCAAATACCTGAATTTGAAACGATGAACCAACTTAACGGTCAAGTTGAGCTTCCTAGGTAACTTCATGATGAAGTATAAGTAATGTAAGAAATATAGATTATAGATACAAGAGTAATACTAACAAGTATTTAAAATGATGATAATATTTATTGTGGTATCTAAATTCAGGTGTGGTATGATTTTATTGTCTCCAAGAAGAGAGAGAGAGAGCAATCGAAAAAAGTTTATAAGGATAAGGTATATCCTACGACTTCTTGATTTGGAATAAGGAAGAAT